GATGAAAAATAAGCTACAGGTCTCAATCGTCCCCCATGGTCTTGTAGTAGTACTGAGTCATGTACCCTCCCTTTTTGTCAACAGTCTGTGTGAAAGGTTTGTTACAGTCGGGGAGACCCAGGGTCGGTGGGACTGAAGAGCCAGTTTAAATCAACAAAAATCTCAGGCCTTCCCCATGTGCGGTTTCTGCCGATGGTGCCTTAATGTGAACACTGTCATCCATAAAAAGTTAATTTACCTGTTTCTTTGCCTCTCATTTTAGGATGGTCTAAAATGCTTCAATGTGCTTTGGGGTGAGAGGGCTCTTCTTTTTCCCTTTTGCAGTGATCACAACAATCAACAATATTATTCAGAAACAGACTGCAGGTTGGATCTGCTAGCTTCATGGTCATCATCAGGAAGGTGTTATATCTAGAGACATCTTTCACAAAGATTTGTTTGTCATGACTTTTTTTTAAATCTCTTAGAGGGCTTTCTCATGGTTATCAAATTTGATATCAGAAAATCTGTTTCTGGAACAGTTCTTACCTCATTCACTACAAAGAAAATATTTTACAATGTACCTGTAGACTTTGAAAGTCAACATTTTGATCTGATGTCTTTCCCCACCCACCGGCCTCACAGCACGTTCTCACCCAGGGTCCTAAATCTCTAAATCTCGTTCCACTTGAACAGTCTACTCACCAAAAAGAGAGTGTTGCCAGCCACCAGGTTCTTTTTGGATCACAGCGGTGAGGAGCCTCAGAAACTCAGGCGTCAGGCCCTCACGTCTCACCTGTATTTTGGAGGGGAGGTTTGAAGTCCCAGATTCTCAGACTCCGGCCGTACGGTTTTTCACCTGCAGCTCCGAGTGTCCAAGTCGTCTCACGCGTGTGACGAGCCGACAACGCCAAATTGTGGTGGGAAAAGTGTGTTTGAATAACAGCTCAGGCAAACACTTTTCTTTCTGTGAATTTTATTCAAGTCTTCTGCAGAAGGAACTCACGGGGACACATACACATCAGAGAGTATCATCCGAGTGAGCTGCAGTGTAACCGCTCATGCAGCTTTTATCTTTGTCTCAGGGTCAGAGTGCTATAATAGAGGAACATGGTGTCTTTCAGTGTTCCCTTGGGGACTCTCAATCTGGATCTATAGAAAGTCACCCGTGTCCAAGGTACATGTGGTGAACCCCTTAAAGTCCTGACCCCTCTGGACATATGTTAAAGTATCACACACATTTACCTTCCATTGACCCCATACCCAAGAGGCTGGAGGCCCCTAGTGAGATTAGTTACATGGCAGCGTTTTATAGATGGTTATCATGAAATTTCCATTACAAACTGAATAATGAAGAGCGAGCCACACACGGATTTACAGATTTTTTTTTTTTGGTATGCTTGCCTCAGGTGTTGAAAACAAGAATTGCTGTCACATTATTCAAACAAGTTAAATGTCTGTTACAGTAATCTAAAGGCATGAATGATCGTCTCCAGTTCGGCCTCTGACACCAGGATATATTCCAAGTTAACTAACTAATCGTTTAGAGTGAAACTCAAAGAAAACACTGAATCTAAAACAACACCTAAAGTCCTGAAGACGAGTTTAAAGCACCAATATTCTGCTTAGTGTTAGAGTACGATGACTCATTCTGTTGAACCTGAGTTTAAAAGGAATCTCTTTCTCTGCCACGCTGATTGTGTTCAGGCATGCGCTTAAATACATCTCGTGTGTGAATGTAGATCTCTACTGCTTCCTTTTCATCAGTTTTCTGTGTGTCCTCTTCCGCAGAAAGCTCATCCTCTCCCTTGTCCTCTTTTTTAAATCTCTACACCATCAGACTACCCCTTGGTAGTCTGTAGCAGTGTATTTTTCTCTTTGTCGTAAAAGCATGGACACGGCCCATTTGGTAATTTTCTATACTGACACTGGGCTGGCCCAATCACATCTCAGAGCAGATAGAGATTATTATCAGCCTGTTGCTTTGGCAGGCAAGCCTGTACATGTGAGTCCTTAAGCTACATTCAAAGAAGTTATACTTGTATCATTAATTAGATGTATCACATATTCTACTCCTACTTTGAATCGCACATTTTGATGTCCTGTGTTTGGAGATATCTTGGGTATTGATCAATGTTGGATGTTTAAAATGTGGTTCGTTCTGTGTTGATGTGAGATATTATGAAACACACCTAGTATGTTGACTTGACCCAACTTGCCCAGATTTGGCAGTTACAGATGCCAAAGGAAGGAGCCTCTCATGAGAGAATGTATGGATAAGACACTCCCTTGTCTCAGAAGAGCAGCAATATATCATCGTCACCCTGCTGCATGTTGTCACTGGCCATGTTTGAGGTTTGGCTGCAGAGGACAAAACATCGGACTCTGGAGGAGGAACTCATTCAGGTGGTCTGGCAGATTTTCCGGGTACATTTAGTCAGATTCCTTTTTTCTTTTATGTAGAACGAATTAAACAGATAAATGAACAAGCAGACAGCTTTGGACTGTAGGTGGACAGAATACTGAGGTTAAACCAGTTAGGGTTGATTTCCTTTGGGCTTTTTACTCTCTAAAATACTATTACTAGTATTTTAAATTCATTCGGTGGGAACTGTTGGGCTTCTGTAAATATCATCATAGAGTACGTCTAGACCTGCTCTTTTATGAAAAGCGCTCTGAGATAACTGTTGATGTGATTTGGCGCTATATAAATAAAATTGAATTTAAATAAAATTAGGTAAAGAAAGAATAATGATTAATAATTAATAATAATTAAAAACCTGCTCTTTAATAACCTGATCTCTCAAACAACACGTTTCACTCTGAAGAATGGAAGATTACTACATTACCAGCAGCTCACAGGACCAAAGCTACGGTTACAGCAGCACCACCTCCAAATACCACATTGACCCTGTACGTGTGGTGACATGCATAATCGTTGCTGTCGGCCTTCCTCTGACCCTGGTGGCCATCTATGCTCTTTATTCTATGGTATGTACATTCTGACTGAGAGTTATTTATTTCCTGTCTGTGTGGTGTGTCTGTCCTACAGTCTGTCTGTCTGTAAAGGATCTGGATCTGGTTTGGGGGCTGGGACAAAGGCTTGGAATGATCTATAACCTGACAGGAATAATTGACTCCAGAATTCAAATGTCCATGAAGCTGATTGGACCCTAAACACATGCAGTTTCCATGTGTGGCTCCATTCCAGCCCTCTCTTAAACTGTTGAGGTTAAAGAGGTGGTATTCTGCTCATTTTCAGGTTCAAAATCTTATTTAGGGGTTGTACCAGAACAGGTTTACATGGTTTAATTTTCAAAAACCACCATATTTTCTCCTCTTTTCACCCTGTGTGCTGTACGCTCTGCTCTTGAGCTACAGAGTGATGCATCTTACTTGTAGAAAATCTTTGTTGGTAGTTGCACATGCGCAGTTCCTAGGTAAGGACTACTAGCCAATCACAAGCAGAGAAGGGCGGGTCGTAAGAAACAAGGTAGTGTGATCCAAATCAAAGGCGCTTCAGACTGAGACCGTAAGCTAGCAGATGGTAGAAGTTACTCACAAGTCCATGTAACCCACAGGATCTGAGTCAGTGCAGACTGTCACAGCCTCTCTACGCCTCCCCTTGGCTCTGCATTGTGTTTTGGTAGGTGTTGTGTGGTGTCGTATGGATGGAAGGAGGCACCAGAGGCTGGATTCGGGATTGTGGTTGAGACCTTCACTGCTCTTTATTGCTCCAACAATCCTCTCTGATACACAGCCAATACCTAACAGGGCACGAAAAGTAAACATAAGGCATTTATATTGTTGCAAAAATAAATCAATCTCTTACTTAAATAATATTTTAGTACCAAAAATAAAAATAAATTAAATGAAGGTTAATGTACAGTCAAATGGAATACATCTCTAAAAAGAGCTTAATATAAAAAACAAACTCTAAATGCAAGGTACCGAAAACAGCAAATGCCCCATCGTACATTTATTTTACTGAGATTAAATCACCTAATGGCTTACAGCACACTAGTCAGGTTAACCAAGAGACACCAACAGCAAGAAACACATGCCGAGTTAACTTTAGACTAGCAGCATTTACCAAGTCTCACAAATGGCATAAATATAGTTTAGAATGTAAACAAACAGTATCAACGCACAATTTAAGTGGATGACTGGTGCGGCCCCGCTTTAACGTACTTTAAAACTACGGTGTCCTGCAAGGTACAAACTGCACGAACTGCTGGACATACTGGGGAATAGACAGCGCAACAGGAAACCGAGGGGCTTACACAGGCAGCTGCCTTACATCCACAACCACACAACATCATTGTTCCACATCTTACCATCAGGACTAAACATTGAACTGTTGCCGGTGTTTCGATCTATGCTGCCCTGCCGAAAAATGCTACCATATTGCAAATCGATAGACATGACTCTACTCGGCCCTGCTCCGTTTTCCATTGCAGGTAGTACCCAGAGATAGTACGTAGCAGGTCGTCATAGCGACGCCACACACAACTGCCGCGGCATAATGTTCAATGCGACACACACCCCAGCGATTCTCACAGCTCTTAAATAGAGTGATCAGATGTCCTGAAAAATCCGGGACAGTCCCGAATTACGAGCAGTTGTCCCGACCCCTTTCCTGTTTGTCCCAAAAATTAGACCTAACATGAGTTTTGATTATAGTCTAATTAAACATTAAATACTGATCGTTGTAGGGTTCTCCTGCTCCAGCAGGGCTTGCAGGTTATCTGGACATTGTGTCAACAGCGTTGTTACAGCCACAAAGTAACACTCGTGCTCTTTTCCCCTTTTTGTTTTCTTGTGGTTAGTGGAAGTTACAGTCACGAGGACAGGGAAAGTGAAGCTTCAGGCAGCCACGGCGGAGAGACCTGACACGTGCGTTACGCAGACATAACTTGGAGGCAAGTTCTTTGCCTCCAGTTCTTATTTGTGCCATCCTCCCTGAAATGCTGATTCAAGTAGGAGAGAGGCTCACCTTGCAAACACAAACATGAGCCTCAAACTGCGACTCCGGTCTGGATAAATCCAGCTCATGTGTTTGAGCCAGAATGCTTCATATCTGTGGCTGAAAAACTGCTGCAGAAGCTGCAGGAAATCTGGCCCTTAGTCTTGTTACTGCAGTGATTGGCCAGTGGGTCATATCTGAGATTCTGTTGGATGAAAAAGTCAGAAATGGCTCTGAGTGCAGCTGCTGGGCAGAGCAAGATGACAGATTTGGGAGGAGGTGGACTTCACAACATGTTTCCAACGGCTTGTTGACTTTTACCAATGTTTTCCTGCAGGTGAGAAGAGATCAAGTTGCTCCCATCTACCTCATCAACCTTCTCATTTCTGACATCCTTCAGTTCTGCTGCATGATCGTTTGGGTGGCACCAAATATTCGTGGACAGATATCTGACATCTTCTTATATATTCACTTCTCTGCTCTGTTTGCCAGTATTTGCTTCATGGTCTGCATCTCCCTGGAAAGGTATCTATCTGTCTATCCAGTATGTGTGGAGCTCCTTCTGTGTCTGAACATTATGTTAGTTTATAACTCTGAAGCTCCTCAAAGACTTTGTGTCCATCTTGTATTACAGGTATTTGGTCATCGCCCACCCACTGTGGTACCGCTTCAGACGAACCATCAAGACCTCTGTGGTGGTCAGTGTCCTGGTCTGGGTCCTGCCACTTCTCTTTTTGTTCATTTGTTGGCTTTATGGTGTGAATCTACACACACTCTTCACTGTCCTCCTCGTCCTCCTCCTCCTTCCCTTCCCTCTGTTAATATTCTCCCTGGTTGGGACCCTCAAAGCCCTGTCTGCTTCCATCTCGGTCCCCTCTGATGAAAAACGACGAATTGTGGGAATTTTGGTTCTGGTGCTGCTTATTTACACTCTGCTGTTCCTGCCCACGATCATTTTGTTATTGGGAGGATATCACAGGACCCTAGAACTCCTGTATCTCATCTTCATCAGGTTGAATCCTCTTGCAGACTTGTTCCTGTATGTGTTCATGAGGAAAGGGTTCATAGACAAGCTTTTGGCCTCTGTGTGTTGCTGCAGAATGGACAGCAATGATATCAGCAGTCCATCAGTATGAATGATGACAACATTTCCACAGTCAGCTTCATGTATGCAGAGAAAGAGGGAGAGAGAGAAAGGGGAGGAAACAGGAGGAGAAATGGAGGCCAATAGAAAGGATAGAGACGAGACAGATCCTGTCATCTACTGAGACCATTTCCAATAAGACACCTAACTGTAGAGAGCAGGAAGCACTGTTTGGACTCTGCTGTGGGAGAAGTGGCTGCTGGGAAATGTTTTGGTCAACTTGCTCTGGTTCACTGTGATGGCTTCAACACATGGAAATAAAATGTGTTTTATTAGTTTGGAGCTGGAAGTTGATGTCTGTCATTATTCTCCTTTAATCCCAGAAGCAAAGCAGATATTTTAGATGAACTGAGCTCATTCTAGCCGCCTCGCTGTCTTCTTCCTAAATCTTTATTTGGACTGTTGTTTGGATGTTTTACACAGGGAGAGCATCTCAACACGTCTTTAGCACTTTGTACTTTTTAAGTGTAATTTCTGCTGTTTTAGTGGTAGGCATGCTGCTGTTTAGGATGGGATTCAGAGCAGCTGTTTTGCAGCACCTGTTGTGTGCTTGGCAATCTGGATAAAATCTTAAACCACAGTTTATGTCAGTTTCTATGAAATTGTACATTTTCTGGAAATCCAATAAAAATCAGTTTGTAGACCAAACTGTGAATGTTTGTCTTTGAGCAACTCACTGTTACCAGGGAGGCATCCTGCACTTTCTGAAGTTTTCAGACTTTTTTAGATAAGAATTTGGGGCAGAAATGATAAAGTGTGACAGGGACAGTCACAACAGATCAGACCAACATGTTTCAGTAGAAGTTAGTAAAGTCTACTGTATGTTTCCCCTTTTTAACCTTTAGCTCATTATTAGCTGAGATCCAACAAGAACAAGCAGATTTCCCAAACTGTCAGACTGCTTCTTTAAATACCTTGGCTTTCTGCAGGGGACACTTTGAAAACTACAAACTGCATTTCTGGAAGATAAACTGCTAAAAGCTTAAAGTAATGACTTGATCAGCTGTACAGTGAACACAGTTATGATGATTAACTCTACTTGCTTTCATCTGTCAGAAGTTTGAGAAGCCGACAGTAAAACAAGAAGCTGCTGCAGGGGACCACAGACACCATCTGGTAACTGACAGATGAACAAACTCTGCAGCACTTTGAGGCTGTCATCTAACAGCTTTCACACTCTGAACAGTGGGTTTTCCTTTTTAGCATACTGGATGGTTGATGCTGGTTGTAGCTCTCTACGTCTTTAACCGTGTGTTGAGGTAAGGGCTGCTTCATGCTGCTCATCAGACTGGACTGACAGGTAAGTGAACAGGGGACAGTTTCAGGACATGTTCTCATCTTCCTCACTGAGGAACGTGTTCCTGTCATAATGCAAAAACTTGAGGACTCAAAGGCAGACTCGGAACAGTTTGAAGGGGTAACAAAGGGGTTTTATTGATAGGTTCCAACAGGGCAGAATGGAGAACACGGAGGAGGGGAGTTAGTCCAGGCAAGATGTGAGCAGAGCGGGGTGTGGCGTTCAGCAGGGTTCCCGGAGGTAGTGTGATCCTGGGCACAGAGAAAAACAGGTTAATCCAGGGAGAGACAGAAATTACAAGGACTCTTACTGGAGACGATAGTTGGCCTTGACGCATGTACCACATGTGGTTAACTGACGATCTGGCGAAGAATGTGAGGAGGACTGGGGTTGAAATACTGCAGGAGCTTGATTAGTGGAATGAGGACCAGGTGCGCCGCTGGAGCCAGAGAGTGTAGCCACGCCCAGACAAACACAGACAGGGGAATACTGGCTGATACGTTTGAAAAAGGTTTGGAGATACACAAAGCCGACACAGGAGAGGAGATCAGTTGGTGTTGTGTGCAAAGTGTGGTGGAGATCATATCATACAAAATTGTAAGGCAGAGACTCCTAAGTGCCCTAACTGTGATGGGGATCATGCAGCAGGGTTTTATGGTTGTGAGCACTTTGTCCAGGCTAGGCGGGTGCAGGTTGTGAAGGATCAGAACAAAGTAACATATGCAGAGGCGGTTCAAAGAGTGACCAGAGAAAGCGGAAATGGAAGCCCTGGGGAAAGGCCGGTGCTAGGATGCAAGGTCTCTGTGCCAAATCTACCACCTGCATCTTCATCTGACATGCTAATTTTTAGTAAGGAGTCATTTTTGTCTTTTGTTTCTGATGTGTTGGTGGGAGCTAAGAAAGCAACTAACCGGTCAGATGTCATTAGGTTAGTGGTGGGTGCAGCCGAAAGATACCTGAGTATAAAGCAGTTGCCAGAAAAGTTGCATCAATACATGATGGAAAGTCAGTGTATAGACAGATCAGTTGTTGAAGACTAGCAGTATGGAGGACGTTAGTGAGGTGAATGATGAGGACCCTCATTAATGTTTTAATGTGGTATATTCTTCAATGGAATGCCCGGAGTCTGATTGGAAATGGTCAGGAGTTAAAAAGGTTTGTAGATAATTTTAAAGAAGCACCAGATTTGATATGTATCCAAGAGACATGGCTAAAGCCCTGTCTAGATTTTGTAATTCCAGGTTATGAATGTTTGAGATTAGATGGGCCTGATAGATCAGGCGGGGGTTGTGCAACCTTTGTTAAGACTGGGGTACAATATAGAAAAGTTGACATTAACTCTGATATTGAGTGTTTGGCTGTGGAGGTTTAGAGCAGTCACAGCTCTATTACTGTGACCCTTGTCAAACTTTGGTATTATTAGACTTTGATGAGATAATGGAGAAGGTAAGGTGTCCTGTTATATGGATTGGGGATTTTAATGTGCACAATCCAATATGGGGGAGTGACCACAGGGATAAAAATGGTGTTATAGTAGAAGATTTTTTAGACAAATATGAGTTGGTAGTGTTAAATGATGGAAGGCCGACTAGGTATAATATTGGGAGAAATACCTGCAGCCATATAGACTTATCAATTGCATCATCAAATTTAGCTAGAATTGTGAATGGGATGTTATAGATTCCTATACACTGGGTAGTGACAATTATCCAATTTTATGCAGATTTGGTAGAGAGTTGAGAAGAGAAGTGGAAAAGAGTGTCCCTAGATATAATTTTTCTCAGGCCAAGTGGGATAAATACCGGGAGGAAGCTCAAAGCTTAGTAGGAGATGTTGATAGTGAGGGTTCTGTAGATAACTGGAATACTTCAATTAGTCTCATGATGCATGAGGCTGCTTGCTATACCATTCCTGTGAAGCAGGAACCTAGGTCACGTATGCTGGTTCCTTGGTGGAACAAAGAATGTGATGAAGCTGTAAGGAGTAGGAATAAAGCATATAGAAGATTAAGAAAGTATCCAATGTTGGTTAATGCAATGGAGTACAAGCGTCTAAGGGCAGTAGCAAGACGAGTTATAAAGGATGCAAAAAGAAACAGTTGGAGGAAGTTTTGTGGTACGTTAGGTCCTGAGACTCCAGTAAGGCATTTGTGGTCAGTAGTACGTAGAATGTCAGGGGTATATAAAAAAAGATTGATGCCAGTGTTACAGAAGGGAGAGGTGGTAGCAGTTTCCAATAAAGAGAAAGCAGACATGTTTGTTGAGAGGTTTCAAGCTGTACATAGATCAGAGATAATGGGGGTTGAGAGGCGTAGGAAGAGGAATGAATTGATTGAAGTTAATCAGTGGAAGCTGGAGAGGAGTTTAGAAAATGAAAATCCTATTAATCCGTTTTTTCTTTAAAAGAGTTGAAGGAAGCAATTATGTCTGGGGCAAATACTACCCCAGGGAGAGATAGGCTATCTTATGAGTTGTTTAAATATCTAGATGAGTTTGTACTTGAAGAAATCTTAGCTTTGTTTAATACTGAGTGGGCATAGGGTTATTTGCCCAAGGAGTGGAAACATGCAGTTGTGGTCCCTATCTTGAAACCAGGGAAAGAGGCATCTGACCCTGGATCATACCGTCCTATAGCGCTCACAGCAGTGATCTGTAAGATTATGGAGAGGATGGTAACTAACAGATTAGTATATTTTTTTTAGAAACAAGAGGACACTATGTTGATGTACAGAATGGATTTAGGAATGGAAGGTCTACAATGGAATCAGTTGCAGTTTTAGATCAAGATATTAAAAGGGCATTTAGCAATAAGGAAATAGTAGTGAGTGGATTCCTGGATATTGAGAAGGCTTATGATTCTTTGTGGAAGGAGGGATTGATGATTAAAATTTTTGACTTGGGAGTTAGGGGACGAATTTTAATTGGATAAAGGATTTTTTAATGAAAAGAACAATACAAGTAAAGGTTGGTAGTATTAATTCAAAGACTGTGGGCATAGAGAATGGAACCCCACAGGGAAGTGTAATTAGTCCAGTGTTATTTAATATAATGATCAATGATATCTTTGGTAAAGTAGAAAGAGGAT